TAAGACCCCCCCCACACCCTAACTGCCCCCCAGGACCCTACCTGTACCCTGACTGCCCAAAACCTTATCCACTTCCGCCCCAGAAAGCCCCCCCCCGAACTCCGCCCCCATCTCTTGACTGCCCCCTCCAGAACCTCCCTGCCCCTTCTCCGACCCTCTGGCTCCCTGTTGTTGGCCTTTGCCTAATGTCTCTGTGAGCTTGCTCAGGAACAGCCTGAGCCGCTCGTCCCGGCATGCTGGGCAACAGTGGAGGAGGAGCGGGGGAGGAGCTCTCTCTGGCTGTCGGAGCCTCATGTAAGTGGCACCATCTGGCCGGCTGCGCGCTCTGCATGGGGCGGGAGTCTGGACATTTACAAATTCCCCCCGGACGCTATTTTTAGCTCAAAAAGCCGGACATGTCCGGGGGAATCCGGACGAATGGTAACCCTAGCTATTAGAAACAGTAGACATTTTCTTGGCAACAAACTAGGCAGGCCAATTCCACATTATCCCTTTTATGCCAGGCTACAATTGTTTTACTTGGTGAAACTAGAGGCCTATTCCCCATCACTGACACCAATTTCTCTATCTGCATACAAGATAAACTGGAAAAATATTAAATTCAAATAGATGTTTACTTTTATTTTCCTTTATGTGGGGGACAAATGGCACTAAACACTCAGGAATAACCTCTCTAATTTAGAGGAAAATAGCCAGACAGTGAGGGTGAAATTGTGACCCTACTGAAGTCAATGGGATGAGAACCAGAGAGAAAATGTAATTCCGAAGTTTATAAACAAGTGAATCTCTTTTCGGTTTCTCTTAGGGTATGTCTTCACTGCAGAGTTAACTCGGGTGATAGACACCTGGGTGAGCACTCAGGTTAGCCTAGTCTGGGAATGAATCACTGCAAAGCCATACCCCAGTTACTGTGTCATCACTGGTGCTGCGCTCACCCGTATGTGTGGCTAGGACTTCTGGGGAAATCTCCCTTGGTTCTTTGGGCCACAGTAAACTAAGCTGTTCTATGATTCTTTCCTAGTGAATTGAGGGAGAACCAGTCTGTCCTTGTGGACACACGGGTGGAATTGTGGGAAGGTATTGCAGGACTATCAGTTCGAGTGATTTA